ATGTCTAACTTTTATTACTTTTTAGTCAAAAATGACTAAAATGGCCAAAAATCAGAAAGTTTCCAGACTTATATCTCAACAACTTCTAACTCAATTTATATAGTTCAAAGTATGGTCTTATACTACTCATTAAGAAGTATTTTCTAACGATTTTTATTTGAGTCTGTTGTGAGTCAATAATTGTGTGGAAAATGGCTATTTTGGTACTTTTGGGGGCTTTCTCTCAATTTTTAATATTTTTGCTTGAGCCTTAGAGCATTTTATTTGTATGAATACAAGCTAAATATACTAATTTACAGAACTGCAAAATGTTGTGGTTTACAGGAGATATGAATTTTTTACCTTGTTGTAATATTTTTTTTACATACTGTACACAAAGGCTTTAAAAACTATGTATATAGTCACTTTACTATGTAATATATGTCTACTACTCAAGAATCTGTTACTCATACATTTGTATCTACTTTTCTACAAGGCACAAATATGCCTCATCCTCCTCTACAACTCTTAGTTGGCCCTCAAGCACAACCAATCACACAGGATTAGGTTACTCACAACTATAGTACAAGTACTGACTATGTTTTTGATTGAGAGGAGCTCAAGGAGATTGTAGCTTTCTCTAGGGCTATCCACAACAATTCCCTTAACCCTACTATACAACTCCTAGAGTGTTATCTCATTGTATTATACTTGTATAACTTCTACAGTCCTTCTCATACAAGACTGAGCCTGCTACTACTGTTTCAAGACTGTATTCAACATACTAAGATAATACAAGTGTTCCAGGACTTTGTATACTATAAGAACATAGCTTTAAATCAAGGTAAATGTGCATATATTCTACATTATATTATTATGAGTGTATGTACCTTACTATTTTACTTAGGTGCAAAGTGTAGAGCTGAGCAAATTGACAATAGAACCACTATATTCTACTTACACAACTGTAAACATTCTTGGATTGAGTCACAATTGCCCTTAATGTCCACCAATCTTACTTAAGTACTCAATATGAGTACTCTGAGCTCATTCAACACTCAAGGCATTAGTCTACTGTCAAATCCACTACTTTCTACTCAATCTAATAGTCATTCCAACCAATCTGCTACAAGTTCCACCAGTTCTGCTGTAGAACATGTTCAAGCTAGACAGGAACACATCCAGTCCACTATAGTACTGATTAAAGACACATTCATAGCTGTAAAGAATGTCCTAGTGTAGCAGTACTAAACTTTGTAGTAAGTTACTAAACATTTTCATCTGTTTTTGTATTGTTATTTTGTTTATTCTAGTACTAACTCACTTAGTATTTAGGATTAAATGCTAGAGGGTAAGTGTAACAATTGTGCTACCTGTACATTTGTACAACATGTATTGTAGGTGCTTGTAAGTGTTTTCCTTTTTGTTCACTAGACAACCCTGTATCCTACTACATGTGTATATGTATATATAAAGGGTTTTTGAGCTAAGGGTTAGGGGATTCTTTCTCCTTCTCAACACTTGATTACTAGGTTATCCTAGTCAGTAGTTGAGTGTGCTGGTAAAGAGAGAATCTTTGCATAAGACTAGTATACCTATCCTTACACCTACACTCAATACTATAACAATCTCTATGAAACTTTGTAGAACAATAGATAAGATGTTAAGGATCATGAAAATCCAGTAGTTATATTGGTTTTTCACAAAACTGACAGAGATATGAAGAAAATGAAATAGGTCCAATCCTACAATCCTAACAACTATATATACTACAATCATTATCTTAAACACTTCAGTGTACTATACACCTTAGTACAGATGATTTAATACACTCAATTATATTATACTTGATAAGTATCATTAAACTACTCTATTTAATACTGAATCTATTTGATTCTACACATACAATTTATTCTACTTGTTTACAAACCTTTAACACTCCTATCTGAGCATACTAAATGCAAATTGTCTTGTCCTGAAGACTACAATTGCTCTATATAATGAGACATGTTACAATACTTGTAATTAGAACACACTATCTATGAGGACCTAGACACACCTGTCTAAGCATCCCAAACATGTATTGATTTATTAAAATAATCTTGGACAGACTAGTTACTTTAAATGTAATGAGTACCCAGTAATACTACATTCAAATACTAAACTACTTTATCTTACACTATGGAGATACATTATAATAATAACATCTCACATTACAGACAAACATTTGATATTATATTAATAATACAAATGATTAATATTATAAACAAAAGAATAATACTAGCAAAGTATAATAATAATATAAAGAAATACTATTACAAATATACAATCAATCTAATAATGATTAGACAAACAAATAATATGAAAACAAGAGTATAAATGCTACTAAAGCATAATAACTCAAATATAAAAACAATTTCTACTATTACAAACAAATAGTCATAATAAATAACATATATTTATCAAATACATATATATTGTATAGATATACAAATGTATAAAATAATAATAATGTATTCAAACACATAAAACTATTATTTATTAAATAATACAAAGTTATATACAAATACAATTGAACAAACACATAATAACAATAAAAAGAATTAATAAAATTACAGAACAATGTTACAAACATTCATTAGGAAAACAGCATTTACAATATGTAATTTTATTCTACAAGGTTGTTGTATATAATAAAATATAATAAATATAGTAGTGTATATTAGTATAGTTATGTATTGAGATGTCCCCTCAAGGTTGACACAAATAGTTGTTTATAATTATTTAGTAGTATAGCAGTATAGTTGTATAGTCACATAGTCACACATAGTTGTTTATAGTTGTTTAGCCATATAGCTGTATAACTGTATAGCCATATAGTTGTATAGACACATAGCAAAATAGTAATAAATTGTAGAATTGTAGAATTGTAGTATAGTAATGAATAGTAGCAAATAGTAATAAATTACAAAATCACATTATAATAGCATATAACTTTCATTAAATATTCTTATAAATATAATGGACGAACAAATACTATTATTCATTATCTATTACAAGAATTGTACTGGTACTAAAGATATCCAGCTCTGACCTCCCGCTGCTCACTGAGTGTCGAGGGCCCATGCCACCTGCAGCACCCGCTCCGCCATCGCTTGGTTCCTCCTCCTTTACCCGTTGCCCAGGTCCGTCTTCCTTGTCGACACCACCGCCTAGATATGAGTCCGAGCGCGTCCGCTTTCCAAGAGTCGATGCATTCGTGGAAAGCGTCGCTGTCGAAGACGAGCCCGCAGCCGTCAATGATGATCCGGCTGCTGAACTTGCATTGCTTGCGGCCGAGTTGATGTTTGGAGACGAGGATACGCCCGCCCCCGCCCTGGGTACTGACCCAGAAGCGGGGGCGCTAGAGAAATAATCCAGCCAAGCGGTATCCGATCCTCCCTGTCCTGTGCTAGGTCGCGACTGGATTTGCTGACTCTGTGCCTGAGAGGAACCGTGCACCGGCCATTCCGAATCTAATCCAGTCCCGCTCCCACCGCGCGGGGGGTGGGGGTGGTGCGGAGAGGTAGCTGTCGGACTTCCGGAAAATAGATTAGAAGTCGCATTCGAAGGTGTAGATGACGCATTTGTGAATGGCGGCTTGCTTGCCCATAGGTCTGCTGCCCATAAAAGGACCTTGCGTTATTGCCTCCGCCGCCTGTAGGGACGTGAAGGTGTGAGAGCTAATGGAGCAAATCAAA